TATATACTTATAAGTCACCGGGACTCGGTTCAAAATATTTTTTTTTTTTTTTTTTATTTATAAACCACCAACCAGCACTCATACATATAAATTAATTGTGTGCGTTCAATTGTAAGAAAAGTACGTCATTGAGAGTACTTTTATTCATTGTTGCGTATAGTTTTCGTAAGAAACTTCAACGAAAAGTCTGCCATTTATTAACAAGTAGATAAACATATAAGGCGTAATTGTTCGTTACGTGGGTAAAATGTGAGTGTATTTTTCTTTGCTGACGCTTCCGGTAAATCGTCAAACCGCGATTAATTCAGTTCTGTCGTGTAAGTACGGTATATTATAATGTATAGCAGCGATGTTTGGCAAATCAAATGGGTATACGACGACGAGGAGATGGCGCGCGCAATCTTGACTCTGCGCGGATTATAACATACACATACGTAAATGTATGTACATGCGACCCTCCCGTCAAAACGATCCCCTGTATAATGTATATATACTCACCCACGACCAAACTAGCTCTGCTCGGTTTCGCTCAAGAGACGGACCGACATAATAACAATCGTGGTCGGTGCAATCCGAGCTATACTGACTGGCTCGCAAAGTTTTGCGTGCCCCTATCTTTCGTCGTTCGTCACAGATAAGTACCTATACTGTATATACCCACCTGCTGCGTACATAATGTTTTTTCAGTGTGTGTAGCGTTTAAGCTTATAGGTGGTACATACTATACCGTTACGTAAAGAAGTGACCGGTCGTGGTGTTGTAATCTAAGACTGTCTTACTTACGAGCGCGCGATATCGATTTTTACGAATACCTATATTGCGTACATCAATGTATATATAAGTGTATCCATTGTTATTAAATTTTGTTCTCTTTAAACGTAAAATTGCATCGTTTTTTACAATTATCATGATTTCCGAAAAAAAAAAGAACTTACTTTGACTCTCGGTAATTTACAATCGCCATCCGTGTACATGTTACGTTTGCTAAATGTTACATGTATTTTTGATCGAAAACAAAAAAAAAATCAGCTTAGCCGAGTAGTTGTATCATGTGATGATAGCGGGTACAAACAAGGGCGTCGATCTGGCATCGTTTATTGAGCCGCGCGAATATTATCGAGCTGTAATATGAAAATGTTTAGCGGGTATATTTGGCGGGTGAGGGGAGACCATCTTGTGCTTACGTTACATACTATAGATGTTCCTCGTCGCACGTCATTGCTTCGGTTATGCGTCGGTCGTTAATAAAATATAGTACAATATTACTGCACAGATTAAGAGATCGATCAAAGACAACTGGCAGCTGTTTTTTTTTTCTTTTTTTTTTTCGGGTGAATATTTTGAGGAATCTTTTTCGGCGATGTTCATGTTTATTTTATGACTACTTGGTGGTTTTTCCCGAAACATCGTATGTGTAAAATAATGTAAAAGTTTTGATGCGCAGAAAACTAGTTTTCCCGAAATACGGTCAATCCCTTCCAACGCTGCGGATGGCGTCACCAAGTTAAAAGTTTGATGAATATAAACGAGTTTCCCGTGGGATGAAATTCGATTTTTCTTTTCACATGCAGTTAACCGGCGAAACCGAATTAGTTCAAAAAGTTTACAGAAGGAAAAAAAAAAAAAAAAAAAAAAAAAAAAAAAAAAAAAA